AAAAATCCATCGACAACCCGACGAGGATTCTGAGAAAATTATTTGTTCACGTCGGGCAGCGCGTCTTTTCTGGAAATTCCATTATATACGATTCAATGTTTTTCTAGGCAGATCCGGAGTCCGATTTCGACTATAAATAGGGCTTAGTAATAAGTTTGAGTTTAGTTTTATCCTGATATTAATTCGGATATTTGAATGTTTCTGTGTAAGTGATGAGTTAATTTTGTAATAAATCAATCAGTTTATTACAGGTTGTTACGTTGTTACTGTTTGTGAAGTGAGTTCTAGGAAATCCAGAATCAGGGACAATTTGGTGTCAGAAATGCGATTATAGTAAGATATTTTCATTTTCAAAAAAAAAGTTTAAAACTTATTTATTTAATCAGCAGTAAGCTCTTTATCATCAACTTATGACTCCACGTGTAAGCATGTGTTTACAGATATTTTTTTTTTGTTCGTAGATATAAACACCTAATTTACTCTAATCCCTTGATGTCCTTTCCTCATCTTCCTTTTTTCCTGGGTATTGGAATTTAATATCGCGACTTCTTTTATGAGATGACACAGTGACGTCATTATCTTAAATGTACCTATTATTTTTTTTTAAATAGTTTGTCAGAAAACTTTGCTTTGAATTTTTTTTGCGCTTAACTTTCTTTTATCTAATTTAGTCCTAGATCATCACTCAATATTTAGAGGCTATAACAGCACCTGAAGGGTCTTTCATATTTGTTAACCCTTGGGAGGCTGAATTGCGGCCCTTTAACCACAGATTTATATTTTTAGCATAGCATATAATTATTGTAAAAAGCTGAAACGGTTAATAAACGTCTTATTATTATTATTATTATTATAATCCGTGCGTTAATTTTAGCTAATTAGCATGATAATTAATGGGGCATCATCTAATATGAGCTAATTATTGGAATAATTAGCAAGCGGATTGTCTGGAAAATAAACTTCTATAGAATTCTATTGGGAAACCGTAGTAAGTAATAGCTTTGTTCCAACGCATCAAGAAACTGTATAATGTAACGTCATGATTTTGCGCAAAGCCAAAAATTTGAGCATAGAACCTTAAATTCGTATACAGAGTGGTGGGACAATTTTTAACGTGTTGGAACAAACCTAATACAAGATTAGTGACTTTATTACTGGCTTCCAAATCGAAAAACCAACTCACAAGTGGTTATTCTTGAAAATTCTAGAAACTTCCATACAATTATATTTGGAAACAGTAAGTGATACAAGAATAGTGACTTCATCACTGATTTCGATATCAAAAAAAAAGTCCATAGAGTGATTTTTCTAGAACATACCATTGTGTTCTATTTTATGCAAGGTATGCAAGGTATCATGAAAAATTTGGACGACAAGAGACAAGAGAAAGACCGAAGATAAAAGGAAAGACTGAAAGAAGAAGTCCAGAGACGGAAAGAAAAACAACAAGAAGAAGTCAGAAACCTCAGATGCCGCTATATGGCTGATTAATTATATTATAAACCTAGCAGTCCCAAGGTGGAAAAAAACTTCGAGAACTATATAATAATTAGGTGCTTTTTAGGTGCTAATTAGGGCCCCTAATTAAAAATTAGGTGCTCCTTTAGTTTCTGAGAAAATCAAAAAAAACTAAGGGATTGCTAGGTTTAAGAAAGCTAGTAGTCCCCTATAGTAAAAGATATTTTTCCAAAATTTTCTTCTGTATCAGAATTAGGTGCTTTTTGGGTGCTCTGAAATAGGCGAAGAAAAAATAGAATTGAATAATTATTAACTGAGTTACAGATTTTTTTTAAATTATAAGGGGACTTCTGGCTTTACGTCTACTTGTTGGTGTGTCAGAATGGCAAAAAAACTTCGGGATCTATATAATAATTAGGTGCTATTATATAGATCCCGAAGTTTTTTTGCCATTCTGACACACCAACAAGTAGACGTAAAGCCAGAAGTCCTCTTATAATTTAAAAAAAATCTGTAACTCAGTTAATAATTATTCAATTCTATTTTTTCTTCGCCTATTTCAGAGCACCTAAAAAGCATCTAATTCTGATATAAAAGAAAATTTTGGAAAAATACACTCCTGGACAAAATTATCGCACCACTGCTTATTTTTTTAAGAAAATTCAAACAAAAATAAATATCAATAAAATCATATTATTTACGAAAAGCAGTACTGGACAAAAACAATGTTTACACTTTATTTTGGTATTTAGGGTCAAATTCCCCTGAATTATTGGAAATCCTTATTTTGCATTTTTCCTCACATGAACCGAAGGCAAACAGTTTCAGTAGTACTTCGTGCTATTTAGGGCGATATTAAGGAATTACGGTTGTGGAACATAATCCATTCTCTCTATTGGGTATGGAAAGAGCGTCACGTCATCTGACTAAAAATGAAGCGGTCCAAGCAATAACTTTAGTTGGAGAAGGTCGAAGTTACCGCTATGTGGCTGGCGTTTTAGGCGTGCATCACACAACGGTTATGCGAGCGGTGCACCGTTTCCGGGAGACCGGAACTTCCACAAGAAGACCAGGGCAAGGACGACATAGAGCTACTTCTCAAAGAGATGACAATTTTTTGCGCCTCAATGTTCTAAGAAACAGAACATCTACCAGCCGTAGCTTGAACGAATTGATTAGGGAAGTACGCCATGTCAATATTTCAGATCGTACAGTTGGAAGACGCCTCCATGAAGCGAATTTAAATAACAGAAGGCCCGCAACTGGACCTCTCCTCACCAGAAAACACCGTGTCAGTCGTTTAAGATTTGCAAGGCAATACTCGGGATGGAATGTAAATGACTGGAGGCGCGTCTTGTTCACAGACGAGACGAGAATTGGATTGCGATCACCAGACGGTCGTTCTAGAGTCTGGAGAAGAGACAATGAACGATTTGCCCAAGCATGCATATCTCCAAGGGAGCCATTTGCTGGAGGAAGTCTCATGTTTTGGGGAGGCATCGCCTATGATGCCTGTACGGAGTTAGTACGCAGATATGTGTTGGAGATACTTGAAGAACATGTAGTTCCATTTGCGCCATTCATAGGAGCGGATTTCTTACTAATGCATGATAATGCTCGGCCTCACGTGGCTTTGGATCTTATTCAATACCTTAATGACGTGGAAATTACCACTTTAGACTGGCCCCCACGCAGCCCTGACATGAATCCAATAGAACATGTCTGGGACATGTTAAAAAGGCGAATTCGGCAAAGAAATCCTCCTCCCCGAACATTAGCTGAACTGGAACAGGCTGCGCGTGAGGAGTGGGAAAACATTCCACAGGAAAGTGTTCAAAATTTGATAAGAGGAATGCCGCGAAGACTTCAAGCGGTGATTGCAGCTAGAGGTGGCAAAACGCGCTATTAATAATGCTGGTGGTGGATAATAATGGTTGTTCTTGGGAATATTGTTTTATTTTTGTATCAAAGATGAAATTATTGAAAATCGGTTTTTTTTCCTAAAAATTAATTTGTTAGCTAAATCTCGTTTTGTTGAATAGAATATGATTATTTTTTGCTTATAAATAATGCACAGTTAACAATGGTAGGTAATTATTCAATTCTTTTTTATTTATCTAAAAAAAATAAATCTGTAAAAGGCAAGAGGTGCGATAATTTTGTCCAGTAGTTTATTTTTTACTATAGGGGACTACTAGCTTTCATAAACCTAGCAATCCCTTAGTTTTTCTTGATTTTCTCAAAAACTAAAGGAGCACCTAATTTTCAATTAGAGGCCCTAATTAGCACCTAAAAAGCATCTAATTATTATATAGGTCCCGGAGTTTTTTTGCCATTCTTGACACACCAACAAGTACCTAGACGTAAAGCCCAGCAGTCCCCTTATAATTAAAAAAAAAAATCTGTAACTCAGTTAATAATTAATCAATTCTATTTTTTCTTCGACTATTTAAGAGCACCTAATTCTGATACAAAAGAAATTTTCGGAAAAATATTTTTCACTATATGGGACTACTAGCTTTCATAAACCTAGCAATCCCTTAGTTTTTTTTGATTTTCTCAAAAACTAGAGGAGCACCTAATTTTTAATTAGAGGCCCTAATTAGCACCTAAAAAGCACCGAATTATTATACAAATCTCGAAGTTTTTTCGTAATTCTGTCACACCAACATGTAAACGTAAAGCCAGCAGTCCCCTAATAATTAAAAAAATCTGTAACTCAGTTAATAATTAATCAATTCTATTTTTTCTTGGACTATTTAGGAGCACCTAAAAAGCACCTAATTATGATACAAAGAAAAAATTTGAAAAAATATTTTTTCTACGAACATGCGGGAAATGGCTCTTCCCGCACGATTTGCTGTGTGGGAATAGCTATTTTATTATAGGGGACTGCTAGCTTTTATAAACCTAGCAGTCCCTTAGTTTTTTTTAAATTTTCTCAGAAACTAAAGGAGCACCTAATTTTTAATTAGAGGCCCTAATTAGCACCTAAAAAGCACCTAATTATTATATAGTTCCCGAAGTGTTTTTCCACCTTGGGACTGCTAGGCTTATAGACCTATAATAGTATATTATATAATAAGTGTGGTAACTAGGTTATTACCGCACGCGAGAGAAATTTGCAAACCGAGCCGGTGAGGCGAGGTTTGCAATCTCTAAGGGCGGTAATAACCTAATTACTATACGTATTATATACAGTATTTTATCTACAAGCGTGCGGTAACAAAATATCGGAAAAAAGTTTAAAAATTATAGAAAATAAAATTGCGTCCGATGTCACATTTGACCGTGGACAGGTAGAATCTAGGTGATAGGTAGGTAATTTATCTCTGGTAGGTAATTGAAGGTACGTACCTATGTAGGTAGAGCGTGCGGTAATATGGTACTTACCGCACACAAAATCATGCAATATACTTTAGTTACCGCACGCTTGTAGATAAAAAAGAGTAAGTGACATTTTCAATGTTACAACACTGGTTCTGTTGGCGTTTTGTGAATTAGTGATATAAAAAAAAAATCGCAAATAACTAAAAAGACATTTATTTTCCACCTATTGTCTGTCCTCTAATAAATTTATAAACCAAATCGTACGTAGCTTCTGGTTGGTCTTGGATTGCCGTATGGCCAGCGTTTCTAACCAAAACCTCTGTCAGATTTCCAACATTTTTCACATATCCAGCTACTGTGCTATTACCTACATACCAAACGTCCCTCTCAGCCTTCGCGTATTCGGCACTTGAACTAAAGTTCAAATTTTGAAGATAGTTTACCGTTGAGGAATAGGAGACCATAATGTCCAGTTGGCCGTTATATATTAGAATTCTGTAGTGGCTTAAAAGTTCACTAACCCAAGGAGCTACACTTTGTGCGATATCGTTCGAGAGACGGCTATAAACTGCGTAACTTGTAAAAAAGAACGTCAGATTCCCTACATGGAGGGCTTTTCTAATCTCAGCCGTTTCAATGAAATCTTGCCATTCTGTGGGGTTGTCATCCGCATCCGAAACAAAATTGAAAATATTAGGCAATCCAGTGTATTCGACAAATAGTGATCCAATAAGTTGGTTCCAGCCATAAGCTGCATAGTCATAAAATCCCAAATCTATACTTTGAACAATTAAATTTTCATATTTTTTATAAACATCAGCTGCATTTCTATCAATAAAACCTAACTGGTAAAGTAAAGCTCCATACTTGAATTGATGCTTTGGATCACTGAGGCCATTACCAATTAAAAGGCCTTTTAAATTAATTTTTACACTTGCTGTTGGATTATTTTTATGTATGGTGTACGCAATTGCAGGCACGAATTTACCCGCATAAGATTCTCCTGACACATAAAACTCGTTCTTTTGAATTTCTGGAAACATTGTAAAGAATTGAGTTAGGAATTTATAAAGATGATCTCCTACTTGTGTCTGATTTGTTACGTAATCATCACCATCAGTGAAACTAAATCCACTTCCAACAGGACTGTCTATGTACAGAACTGAATGGTTCTTGTGCCAGGAGAAATCACGCGACTCCACTGTTCCATTTACTACTCCAAAGGGACCATTTTCAACAAAAAGCCCATACAAACTGCTAGTTCCAGGGCCACCTTGCAACCAAACTACGACAGGATCTTCTTCGTAGTTACTTTCGGATTTGAAGAACCAGAAAAATAAATTGCTATTATTCTTCTTGTCGACAGTCAAAAAACCAGAATAGCTGGAAACATTTTTGAAAGCTTCTATGTTTACTTGAGCGGCTTCACGTGCCTCCTGGGTTTTATTTGCTTCCAAATAGGGGGTTAGAATTAAAGGCTCTGTGGTGTCTTGTAATATAGGCTTATCTGGTAATGTGGAAGCTAAGGCTGTTGCCGTCAGGCAGAAGACCAATAGGACCTTCATTCTATAGAAAAAAAAAGTTATTTTATTTTCTTCTGGTAATAACACGTATTATATACAGCGAGGGAGGTATTAGTTTTAAAAAATCCATTACAAAAGGTAAAAAAATCTATTGCTTACCTTGAAAAATATTTGGAACGTACTAGTAAAATATTCGCTTTTTTAGGACATTTATAATGCAATTTTATCTAATTATGTGCTATTTCCCAATTCGGCATAGTTGATAGCAAATTCAAGTAGGTAGCAGCAATGTTTATATACGACTATTTATTTCATACCTTTAATTTTAGCTTCTAGCTCAAAAACTGTTGGATTTACAGAAAGGCATATTGGTATAGAACAACAAGTCGGCTATTAACACACTATACATTGGGCTACAAATTTTTGTCACTGATTTCGGACATCTAAAAGTAAGAAAAGGGAAGGATGAAAACAACCTTTTTACTGTTTACCGGTGCTACGAATACTTAGAAGTGATTTTCGTGAAGCTAGGGGTGCCGATTTGATTCAGCTTTAACTTACTATTTGACACATTTCATCAAAAAAAAGTAGAGGATTTTACCGCACATGCCTAGCATTTAGGGTCAAGTATTTATTTAAGATAAATATCAGCGGTACCTACTAACACAACAATTGGGCCACCGGATTTAGTGAGTACCTACATTTGATAATAAATTCCGGTACCAACGGTATTTTCAATAAAACTCTTAAGTACTTTTGATTTTTCGTTTATTTTTGATCAATTATTGTTAATAAACTCTTTAATCATTCCAAAAGCTTCCTTAGGTTTATCAATCGGAACATAATGTCCCGAATTTCTAACTAAGATCTCTGTTAAGTTTCCAGCGATTTTTTTATAACCAGTCACTATATCATCATCACCACGCAATATTTTTCTATCAGCTGATAAATATTCAGCTGCGGCACTAAACTTTAGCTTTTCTAAAAAGTTAACTGTCAGTATGTAAGCACATATAAAATCTTGTTGCCCATGGTATATTAATACTTTGTAGTTGTTCAGAAGCTCAATGAGCCACGGGGCAATACTTTCAGACATGTCAGCTAAAAAGGCATTGTAAACATCGTTGTTTAAAGTGGAATAGTTCGCTGCTCCCACATGCAAGGCCTTTCTCACGCGATCTTCAGTAATGAAATCAGCCCAATCCTCATCATTGTTGATATCATCTTCATCTTTAAGATAGTTGTAGGGATTATTCAAACCAGTGTCATTAAAATACCAAGAAAATATTTCATTCGTGGCATTTGTAGCTTCGTAATATTTCTCTTGATTGATATAACGGATAATTTTTCTGGTTCTGGCACTATATTTGTTTAAAGTTTTCCTATCAATCAGACCCGTTTGATACAGAAGGGGACCGTAATCCACCTGATTAATTGGATCGGTAAATATGCTTCCCATAGCCAGCCCTTTCAAGTTGATTCGCAAATCAGCAGTAGGGTTTCTTTGGAGGATAGTGTAGCTAATGGCAGGTACATATTTGCCTGCATAAGATTCTCCACTGACGTAAAATGCAAGTTTTTGTAGCTCCGAGAATAAAGTAAAGAATTGTATGAGAGCGGTATACAAATGATCTCCTACTTGAGTTTGATTTGTTAGATAATCGCCATCCGTAAAGCTAAACCCTGTACCAACAGGTTGATCGATGTAGAGTACTGAACAGAATTTGGTCCAAGAATAATTACGCAGAGACACAGTATCATTTTCAACAATGAAAGGGCCATTTTCTTTAAAAAGACCAAATAAACTGGAGGATCCTGGTCCTCCTTGCAACCAAAGCAGAACTGGATCTTTGGTATAATTATTAGTGGAAGGGATGAACCAGAAGAACAAGTTTGCATTGGTTTTTTCGTCTACGGTAAGGTATCCAGTATAGCTGTTGACCCCCTGGAAATCTTTCAATTCTACTTTTGCAGCTTCTCTTGCAGCTTTAAGTTTTCCTTGTTTTATGAGAGGCGTTAGAATTAGGGGATTTGTTTGGGCTGAAACTATCTGGACAGCAAGGGGAACCAAGAAGGAGAAGAGAAGTTTTCTCATGATGTTCTATCCTAAAAAAAAAAGAACGGTGCTACTTTAAAAGGTGATACAAGGGTTTATTATATGAAAACACCCCAAATTTCCGATGTAAACTGAAAAATGTGTATGGTATTTTACTATTTTTTGAATGCTTACCTAGTAGTCACCTTTGGCAATGGTAATGAACACGTTCAGTCGAATTTAACATGCAATTTGTTAGAGAGGCTATAATATATAATTATTCTCCGATAGAAAAAAACACACCATGTGGAGTGATTTTGATTAGCCAACAACAAATTTGAGAAGTTTGACACGGCTCAGCCCTATTTCGTGCTAATTCAAATGCCGCAGGCGATACAACCGAGATTAAAACCAAGAATTTGTGGAAATTCGACTATATTTCCTTTTATGGTATGATAACATTGTAATTAGGATCGTAATGCTCAGTGGCGAATCTAACATGAAGCAAAGGACGCACTCTGCGTGTGGCCCCCAGAGCTGAGGAACCCCCCACACAACCGGATTTTAAAGGCAATGATAAAAAAAATAATAAAAAAGAAACTCATGAATATGAAAAAAATCGAAAATTAAATTTTGAAAGTTACGGCAACGTTGTATACCTCTAGGGAAGCCTGCTGTGATCGACGCGATGTGGCAACCGCGGGCTGACGCGCAGGACGCATGTTTCACTTTTTTGATTGTTTTGTAAGTGGAGGCAAATGGGCATGTTGTAGGTATTTCTCTTTGTTTAGATAGAAAGTTCCTGAATTTTTAGTAATAATATTTTTTATGTCATACCAGTACATTATTGTCTTTTTATACCTTAGATATCATCTACATAATTCCTCACTTTATGCCCGTGCGGGCATAGAGTAAACATTCTAGCCCGCGCGGGCATAATGTACCATTCTAAACATCAGGTTGACAATTACGCCGCAAATGACGTCGTTTGCGTGTACGCAAAGTTGCATCGATTTCAAATAAATTCCCCCTGGTATGACATAAAAGTTTGTATGCACCACGGGTACTAATAGATATATACCCTCGGGCGACTTACGAACCCTCGGGCCATAGGACCTCGGCTTTGTAAGGCTGTCGCCCTCAGGGCATAATCATCTACTTAGTACCCTTGATACATAAATATTTTTTATGTCATACCAATACATTATTGTGTTTTTATACCTTAGATACCATCTACATAATTCATTACTTTATGCCCGTGCGGGCATAAAGTACACTTTATGGCCCGCGCGGGCATAAAGACGCAAAAAACAATTTTCAATTAACTTATTCTTTATTAACAAAATATAAATTTACGCTGATAAACATATTATTTTTGTCAAAAAATTATGATGTTTACACACTGATGACAATTTGCGAAGTGACACTTTTTTCCCAGGTATTTATTATTCACAACCAACTGGTATGACATAAAAGTTTGTATGCACCACGGGTACTAATAGATATATAAACCCTCGGGCGACTTACGAACCCTCGGGCCAGAGGCCCTCGGCTTTGTAAGACTGTCGCCCTCAGGCCATAATCATCTACTTAGTACCCTTGATACATAAATAACTATTTTCGTTCAACTTGTTTTCATGTTGTCTCATATTATGTTCTTACAGTCTAGCAAATTTAATTTTGCCGGCGACGTCTGAGGGGTGAAAAACAGAAAAATGGCGGACACTCATGGTGATTGGTGGGTTGTATTTTGAACCTTGTTTTTATAGATGTAGGTATAATGGATTTGAATCATCTGCAGCCAATCGCTTTATCTATGTACTGTCAAGGAAAGAAGTTGACACACATGTCAATTTTTTGTCCGCATTCTTTTCTCCGGCAAATTTATATTCGCCTGACTCTAATGGCTGTTTGCACCGGCCATTTTAAGGAAGCCTTAACGATTAAGTATATGCCTTAAAATGACATTTTTACATGGAGAAATGTCATTTTAAGGAATACTAATCGTTAAGGCTTTCTTAAAATGGTCGGTACAAACGGCACTAGCTGACATCACACACATAACCTAACTTCCAAAAGGGGGACAAACAAAGCGTTTAAGAACTATTACACACATCAGTAAGGCGATAGCTATTATTACGTTGCAAGTCAAATAACGTGACTTTTAGGGGGACAAACATATCATTGACTTGATCATGGATGGCCGTTTGCACCAACTACATATTTTAGAGAAGCCTTAATTATAGGTATTTTTTAAAATGACAGTTTTCCTAAGTTTTTCATGTAGAAATGTCAGTTTGAGAAATATTTATCGTTAGGGCTTTCCTAAAATAGTTGATGAAAATAGCCATGAGACAAACAAACGCTTTGTTTGTCCCCCCATCGAAAATGAGGTTATGTGTGTGACGTCAGCCTTCAATAACACAAGAAAACTACCTGAAAAAAGCATGACAGGGCCCCAAAATTTTTTTATGCATCGGGCCCCAAAGGTCCTGGTAGTGCTACAAGCGAATTTTTAATACAAGTTTACACCATGTTGATGAATCTCAAACCTGAATGTGTCGTAGAAGAGACATTTAGTCCAAAAAAAAATGTCATATTCGAATTGACGGATAAACTCTGGTTAAAATACTCAAAATACATCATTGGATCCCTGGGTCAATGATAACACACACTTCTAAGCTAATATCGCTATTTCAAAATCATGAAAGTTCAGCTTATTCTGATAACAAATTCAACTACCTGGTACGTACCAACAATTTTTTGATAAAACACTTTAATAATCTCAAAGCCTGTATTTATTTTTAATCGAATCGATTGCGAATAAACCTATTAATAAAATCGAAGGCGGCTTCGGGTTGATCACTCCGAACCAAGTGTCCAGCATTCATGACTAAAACCTCTGTCAAATTTCTGGCAGTTTTCACATAACCAGCAAATCTTCCACAAGACCAGGATGAGATACAGAGTTGGCAAAACTCAGGAGGATTCGAGAAACGCCTATAACGTGGCTAAAAGAACGCAAAACTGGAACGTATACAAAGAACATCTAAGAACTTTCAAAAAAAAGCTCAAAGAAAAAGAAAGGGCAGCTTGGAGGAACCACCACCTCTACCACCTCTAGGCTTAAAAAAGTTCTATCAAAAGACCCTATAATGCAACCAGGTAGCCTTAGAAGGAGTGATGGCACATACATCGTTTCCTCCGAAGACAATACTAGAAACCCACTTTCCAGAATGCAAAATCATAGACACCGCCGAAAAACCAGTATGGCCGGGTAAACACGGACAACTGAAGTCATAAACGCGGTGGTTTCAATTGGCAAAATCACTTGGGCAATACGAACCTTCAAACCATTTAAGTCCGCAGGAGTTGACGGCGTCATCCCTGCAATGCTTCAGTGGAGTCTGGAGGCAATTGTATCACACCTTGAGGTAATTACTATTCAAGGCCTGTCTTACCCATGAACTGGAGAGAAGTTAAAGTCACCTTCAGCCCTAAACCTGGGAAGGATGACTATTCTCATCCAAAATCTTACAGAGCTCATTTCTTCTGAAAACTCTCGAGAGGCTATGTGATAGGCACATTAAAGATGTGCACTTGATATTGCAAGCGATACACCCTAATCAACACACCTATCAACCAGGAAAATCTACGGAGACTGCACTGCACTGTGTTGTGCAAAGAATAGAAAAATCACTTTTCTATTGGCAGTCAGCCCTAGGAGCTTTTCTTGATATCGAAGGCGCTTTTGATAAAGCAACTTTTAACAGTGTAGAAACTGCTCTGATAAGACACAACGTTGACCCAACCATCATTGACTGGAAAGGTTGTATGTTAAAAAACAGAATAGATATATTATGGGGTTTCACCATCCTCCGTCCTCAAATATCAATCATGTCAATAAAATTTCAATCATCTGTCAACCAATCAGGGTTGTTCTTGGGAAATGTTCGGGTGTGCCTGCAGCAATAGTCAAATAGTGCCAAATAGTGCCACCTAATAAGAAGTGATAGGAGGAGATTTTTTGAATTTTTACCTATTTCTTTTTATCATATGATTAAAAGGAGAAAGATAGGTTATTCTTTCGATCTGAACAAACTGATCGGAGTCACTTGAGGTTTGTTCCAAACAATTTTCGTACGGTTTTAAAACGATTTCATTGACCCCAGCTGTTTTTTTGATACCTCATGAACAAACCTCATGTGATCACAATCAATTTGTTCAGATCGAAAGAATGGGTCCGATTCTCGTCTCAGGGAGAGGAGAGCTCCCCGAGAGAACAAATTTGTCGTCTTTATCATTCTCGTTCACTTTTCGATTACATTGACAAGAACAAAAAAATCGTTCTCTCGGGAAGCTCTCCTTTCCCTGAGACGAGAATCAGGCCCTGCGATCTCTCATTGCCAGTTATAAACCACATAATAACTCTTTTCCGTTTTTCTAGATGTCGCTGACAACCACAGAATTGTCAAAATTGTAAAATCCCAGCAAATCAAGAACACGTCCGATGTCGATAACTGACATGTCAACAATGACAATATGCCAAAATATTCATTTAATCATAACTAATACCTAATTCATAATGTTTTTTGTTCGCCGGTCTTGTATTTCATCGTTCTCTGTGTTGTCAAGTGTTCTTAAGTGATTTCAAAGTTGTTTTGTGTGTTTCAAGAAGAACTTCAAACTTTATAGATTGGAAGATCTATTTTTATCTTTGTTGATTAGATAAATGACAGGTTCAATTAAACATCAATCAGAACTTTGAAAAAATATGTTAAGGATACCCTTAACCATCGATAAAGAAACTGTCTTTTGATCTAATTAACAAATAATTAATTTAAGCAAACATTAATGCTCTAAAGTCTAGAATAAACGAATTTGAACAGACCGAGAGTAGCGAACAGGGTGCCATCTATCATAAAAAGTCCTATGTAAAGTAGGTGTCTGTAGCATCGATGCAAAGCCAGTAAATAGTGATTTTCCGATATGGTAGATGGCGCTGGCTTGGCTCGATTTTGTTGTCAACAAAATTAACACTGAGATTCCATTCTCGACAGTTTATATAGTATTTATCTCTGACGAGAATCGAGCCCCAGGGATTATATTTCATATATTAAATTCACTATAATGACAATTGACAGTCACGTCACTAGTCACACTCACATCGACAGATCCAATGACCTGACAGATACACTACAATTCTCACAGGTCAGGACTGAAGTCACCAGTACAGAAATAGAATGAAGAATGAATAAAAAATACAATAGAATAGAAATAAAACAAAAATCCTGCTCCAGCTGCAGCTCCAGTCTTTCTCATCTTGAAAATTTGAAAAAAGATAATACCTATCTAATGCATTTCCGATTGGTAGATTCAGTGCGCACTGAGTGTATTTGCATCCTTTTAATCGACCTGTAGAAGAAAAAGACAGAAATAGAAAAAATTGCACTAGTTCCGCACTAGATCTACCAATCGGAAACGCCATAATAAATGTGAATCGTGCCACCGTGCATTTTGCGCGCGAAAAGTGCCACTTCTGGCACAATTGCAATGGCAATTGTGCCTTTTGAACAACACTGCAACCAATGTCAAACCTAAGTGTCCGTCATCTATCAGTCATCTGTCAATGTCTAACCGAACCTACTCCGAACTAATCCAATCTACTCTGAACTAGTATGATCTACTCCGAACTAATGTTACTAGTGCAACCTACTCCAATCTGCTCTGAACTACTTTAACCTAATGTGATAATTCCAAATTAAATCTATTTTTATTACCTGGCGCCATCTTTTATCAGTTTTTCGGATTTAATTTAGTACAGTCTAGTTGAGCTTTTAGAAATCTATATTGGTCTAGTCTAGTTTAGCCTGCGTAAATTTTAAATAGTAAAATAGTGAGCATAAATAAAATAGCCCCGGGGGCTTTTGTAATTATCGGCCCCTGCTGTAGGTGTCCGAATCGGGACCTTTTGTAATTATCGGTACCTGCTGTAGGTGTCCGAAGCGTTTTGGAGATGGTTTCTCACTGCGGTCAAATTCCGGGAAAACCCCCAAAAATTTGAGGTTGGCCCGGGTCCAAACCCGGAAATTTCAGATCAAAGACGCCGCCGATCTACAGATTTTCCCACGGTATCGGAAAAGTTCCCAGGCTCAGGTGCCCCCGTTAGCTAGACCCTGTTTCTAGGCATGCCTTATTTGATGTAATTGGCGATGAAGTTCAATGAAACAACAATTTTTTGGTAACATTTTATTCATTAAACCTTGAAATAATCACATTTGCTTTTTCCTATAATTAGGTAGAACATTCTAGACAATAAAATACCAAAACTACAGCTATGGTTATTATACAGGTAGGTATAGATTAAGTAGATAGATGCATCAGGTCTCGAATCGGTGGAAGTGGAGTTTATAGTTTCGTTTCTACAGAGGATTTTGGAGATGGTTCTTTGCCTCGGACCAATTCCGATAGTTGTCCATTCCCTGCTTTCTAAAATACTGTTGTTCAGCAATTCCACTCGCAATTTATACTGGTAGAATCTATTCCGCGATTCTGGAAGTACTGTCTGGAAAGTACGTGTACGATCGTATCTGTGTATCTCCCAGGATTGTTCTGTGGCTTTTCACCGCCGTAATTGGACCTATGTTTACCTATAGAGCAATTGTATGGTGGACCAAAACCAAGCAAATAATAACTAGGATCAGAATGCAACAGCTACAAAAGTTAACATGCCTGGCAATCACAGGGGCAATGAGAACCACACTAACAATGACCTTACAAGTGCTGCTAAGACTGCCACTTCTTGATGCATATCTTAAAGGCGAGGCAGAGAGAACAGCAACCCGACTGCATTCAATTGGATTGTGGTGTGGAGGAAGCGGAGGTTCAGGGCATGCCCGGGTGTGTCGAACGAGAACCACTGCTGAAACACCGGACAGATGCAATGATTCCACGCTTCATCTTCAACAAGGCCTTTAAGATAGAACTAAGCGGCCTTACACCACCAGGCATAAAAGCAGATATATATATATATTCACACGGATGGCGCACAAAAACCAGTCGGGAACTGGGCTAGGCGTGTGGATACCTGAGCTCGACCTAGAAATAAGTACAGCTTTAGGCACTTATGTGTCAGTTTTCCAGGCAGAGTTGCTTGGAATAATGCAGGGAGCTGGACAAATACAGGAAAGGAGGATAAGAGGAACAACTATCACCTTTCTGACAGATAGCAAACAAGTATTGCATGCCTTAAATAAGGTGAAAGTAACATCTAAATCAATCCTTGAGTGCCACTAGAGGCGATTGTCCAAGAAAATAGGATCATGGTGTCGTGGATTAAAGGCCACAATGTTAATCAAGGAACGAAAGAGCAGATATCCTAGCACGCACTGGAGCTAAAGGGAAACCAATCGGCACCGAGCCTTTTGCGCCGTTGACTAGCAAAACTGTAAAACTAGAAGTCAAAGAACACTTAGACAGAATTCTTAGAGAGAGATGGGAGAGTCAGGACTTCAGAAACTCGAGAGCCGCTATCGGTGGCCCTCGGGCTGGCTAGACATATTACCTCCTTGAACTGTCTAGGAACAACCTGAGGAAACTAATAGCAGTACTTGCAGGCCACTGTAAGTTAAATAAGCACCTTCACACCTTGGGCTTGATAAACGACCCAACATGCAGAGGGTGCAATGAAGACGACGAGACGGCAGAACAAATTTTGGCTATCAATACTGCAGGCTGGTTTAACGAGTAACACTCTAACAGAGGATACAATGGGCCCACTAAAGAGGTAAGTATAGGGTGATTCACCCCTTCAAACCTCTATCTACATCTACTCTTCCACCAAAACTCCATATCAGCTAATTTATACTCCGCTGCAGCGCTGAAGTCTAGATTTTCTGAATAGTTATCTGTTAGCACATACCCTACTATAAGATCTAGTTGGCCATTGAAAATTATTACTTGATAATTGCTCAGAAGCTCACTGACTCATGAGGCAACACTCCTACTTATGTAATCGTAAAGACTATCGTAGACATTGTAATTTTGATCAGAATATTGTGCGCTTTCAACATGCAACGGTGGGTCACCGGATTTAGTGAGTACCTACATTTGATAATAAATTCAGGTGCCAATGGTATTTACAATAAAACTAAAGTAATTTTGATTTTTTGTTTTATTTCTCATCAACGATTGTTAATAAATTCTTTAATCATTTCAAAAGCTTCCTTAGGTTTGTCAACCGCAACATTATGTCCAGCGTTTCTAATTAAGATATCTGTTAAGTTACCAGCAATTTTCTTATAACCAGCCACTGTATCATCATCACCACGCAATATTTGTCTATCAGCTGATAAATATTCAGCTGCGGCACTAAACTTTAGCTTCTCTAAAAAGTTAACTGTCAATATGTAACCATCTATAACACCTAGCGACCCATTGAATATTAATACTCTGTAGTTGTTCAGAAGCTCAATGAGCCACGGGGCAACACTTTTAGTTATGTCAGGTAACATGGTGTCGTAAACATCGTCATTTGAAATAGAAAAGTTCGCTGTTCCCACATGCAAGGCCTTTCTCACGCGATCTTTAGTAATAAAATTAGCCCAATCCACATCATTGTCAAGATCATCATCATCTTTAAGATAATTGTAGAGATTGTTCAAGCCAGTGTCATCAAAATACCAAAAAAATATTTCATTCATGGCCTTTGTAGCTTTGTAATACTTTCCTTGCTTAATATAACGGATAATTTTACTTGTTCTGGTATTATATTTGTTTAATGTTTTCCTATCAATCAGACCTAATTGATACAGAAAAGGACCGTAATCCACCTGATTTATTGGATCGGTTAATACGGCTCCCATAGCGAGTCCATGTAAGTTAATTTGCAAATCAGCAGAAGGGTTTCTTTGGTGGATAGTGTAGCCAATAGCAGGTGCATATTTGCCTGCATAGGATATTCCAGTGACATAGAATGGAAGTTTTTGTAGCTCCGAGAATAAAGTAAAGAATTGTATGAGAGCGGTATACAAATGATCTCCTACTTGAGTTTGATTTGTTACGTAATCGCCATCCGTGAAGCTGAACCCTGTACCAACAGGTTGATCGATGTAGAGTACTGAAGAAAATTTGTTCCAAGAATATTTACGCAGTGACACAGTATCATTCTTGACAATGAATGGACCATTTTCGTGAAAGAGGCCAAATAAACTGGAGTATCCTGGTCCTCCTTGCAACCAAAGCAGAACTGGATCTTTGGCATAATTATTAGTAGAAGGGAAAAACCAGAAGAACAAGTTTGAATTGGTTTTTTCGTCCACGGTAAGGTAGCCAGCGTAGCTGTTGACCCCTTGGAAATCTTTCAATTCTACCTTTGCAGCTTCTCTTGCAGCTTTAAGTTTTCCTTGTTTTATGAGAGGCGTTAGAATTAGCGGATTTCCTAAGTTTCTTGTTTGGGCTGAAACTATCTGGAATGCAAGGGGAACCAAGAAGGAGAAGAGAAGTTTTTTCATGATTTTCTAGCCTAAAAAAAAGGAACGGTGGTACTTTAAAAAATGATACAAGGGTTTATTATATGAAAACACCCCAAATGTTCGATGTTAACTTCAAAAAGACTGAAAAATATGTATGTTGTTTTACTATTTTTTGAATGCTTACCTAGTATCAAACACCTTTGACAATGGACACGTTCAGTCGAATTTAACATACGAGAGGCTATATATAATTATTTTCCGATAAAAAAAATACACCATATAGAGTGATTTTGATTAGCCAACAACAAATTTAACAAGTATAGCACGGCTGAACATCAGTTCGTGATAATTCAAATGCCGCAGGCCACAACCAAACCAAAATTTGTGGGAATTCGACATATATCTGCGAACCTGCGTGTGTCGTAGAGACATTAAGTCCAAAAAAAAAAGTTATATTCATGATTTGACGGATCAACTGTGGTTAAAATACTCAAGATAGATCATTATTGGGTCCCTGGGGGACACTTATAAAACATACACTTTGCAACGCTCAACTATAACGCTTAATACAATGCTCAATTCCTAGAATCTAGAGATAGGAAAGAACTGGAAGTCAGATTCTCAAGTGAGGGAACTGTAGAGCTATTTGATATTCACGTGGCGCTCAAACCCATGCCCGTCTCCCTGTCTGAAAGCTGGCGGCCTCTACAGTACTGTTCCCTCACTTGAGAACCTGACTTCCAGTTCTCTCCCACCTCTAGATTCTAGGAATTGAGCTTTGCAATATATAGGCGTTATTGTTGAGCGTTGCATTTTGGCGCCCAACGTGGGGCCAGTTTGAATTGTAACGTAACAAAGGACCTCGCACACCTTATATGGGATTTCAGCGATCGGTCGATTTTTTCCAAATTTTTATATGCTGTAGAGGATTTAATTCTTAACAACCTTTAAATGGGACGAAATCTTGTAGGTATTACGGTTGTTGAGATATGAGCGTTGAAAGATGAACTTTTTCGCGACTTTTTGTGTGGAGAGTATACGGAAAACTGGTGTTACTGGTGTCTGGTGTGAATCAGTCAAAATATTAACAGGTTCACATAATTTACGTCACTAAATTAGGCGGCGTTCCGTATCTTACCCAGAGTTACCGATTGGTATGGAGCGGTTCGTCTATGGTGACAGTCTGGTTCCTGAGAATGCGGTTTATGTGTGGAACCGCGTTTCATAACCTAACCAGATTTCGGGAGTGGTTAGGTTACGGAACGGGAACCGGAAAAACCAAGAATCTTGGTTAACTTACGGAACGTCGCCTTAATGTTAACATAGGCTAAGGCCGGGACCACACTGGGTTCAATGTAGGCGCTAGTGCGGTTCCGGCCTTGCCCATGCTGACAAATGAACAAATGTTCGTGACGTAAAATATGTGAACCTGTCAATATTTTGACTGATAAACACTAGTATTTCGTATACTCTCCATACAAAAAGTCGCAAGAAAGTTCATCTTTCAACGCTCATAGCTCAAATACCGTACTACCTACAAAATTTCGTCCCATTCAAAGATTGTTAAGAAATAACTTCTCTACAACAAATCAAAATTTGGAAAAAATCGACCGATCGCTGAAATCCCATATGTGCGAGGTCCAAGGTTACAATTCAAACTGGCCCTACGTTGGGCGCCAAAATAAACGCTGAACAATAACGCTTAATGCAAAGCTTAATTCCCATAATATAGAAGTAGGAGAGAACTGGAAGTCAGGTTCTGAAATGAGGGAACTGTGGCGCTCAATCCAAGAACTTAACAATACAATGTAAAATTGTCAATCTTTCAATTTTTTTTATGTAGAAAAGGCTTGTGTTGCCAACATAGTTACTAAATTTTTGACTTGGGGAATTATCTTTAAAAAAAAACAGACTTCACATGGGGTTTGCTGTTGAACTCTTGCTGCACCTTTACTGGAGAGTATACGAAATACTGGTGTTACTGGTGTTTATCAGTCAAAATATTGACAGATTCACATAAGGATAACGCACACCTAACATGGGATTTTTGGGCTCTATGGATTTTGCCCATTTTTTGATATGTTGTAGAGGATTTAATTCTGAACAACCTTTAAATGGGACGAAATCTTGTAAGTATTACGGTCTTCGAGATATGAGCGTTGAAAGATGAACTTTTTTGCAACTTTTTGTGTGGAGAGTATCCGAAAAACTGGTGTTTATGAGTCAAAATTTTGACAGGTTCACATAATTTACGTCACTAAATTAATGTCAACATAGGCTAAGGCCGGGACCGCACTGGAGTCAATGTAGGCGCCAGTGCGGTCCCGGCCTTGCCCATGTTGACATAAAATATGTGAACCTGTCAATATTTTGACTGATAAACACCAGTATTTCGTATACTCTCCATACAAAAAGTTGCAAAAAAGTTCATCTTTCACCGCTCATATGTCAAAGACCGTACTACCTACAAGAGTTCGTCCCATTTAAAGATTGTTAAGAAATAAATCCTCTACAACACATCAAAATTTGAAAATAATTGACCGATCGCCAAAATCCCATATAAAGTGTGCGAGGTCAATTTGTAATGTTACAATTCAAACTGGCCCCACGTTGGGCGCCAAAATGCAATGCTCAACAATAACGCTTAATGCAAAGCTCAATTCCTGGAATCTAGAAGTAGGAAAGAACTGGAAGTCAGGTTCTCAAGTGAGGGAACTGGAGGCCACCAGCGCTTAGACAGGGAGACGGGCATGGGTTAAGTTCTTGGTTTGAGCGCCACGTGATTATCAAATAGCTCTACAGTTTCACTTGAGAACCTGACTTCCAGTTCTTTCCTACCTCTAGATTCTAGGAATTGAGCTTTACATTAAGCGTTATTGTTGAGCGTTGCATTTTGGCGCCCAACCTGGATCCAGTTTGAATTGTAACGTTACAAATAACCTTATACCTAGTTGATTCCTAAATCTGCCAAATATAATAGCTGTGAAGCTTATGTTGAACACAAAAGAAAAATGACAAGCGGATTCCAACAATATAATCATCAGTAGGATATAAACACAGAGTTTCCTCGTTTTAGCAATGATTGCCCTCCAGTACCTCCAAGAAAATGCCGACAACAATAATCTAGAAATGAACCAGTAATTTACTCAATACAGAACAGCTCCCCTTGCCTACAGTAAACCCAGTCAAATGATAAACATAGTGTGTCTATAGTATTGTTAAATGTGCGAGGTCCTTGTAACGTTACAATTCACACTGGCCCCACGTTGGGCGCCAAAATGCAATGCTTTTTAATGCTTACCTAGTATCAAACACCTTTGGCAATGGCAATGAACACGTTCAGTCGAATTTAACATGCGATTTGTTAGAGTTAGAGAGGCTATATATGTATAATTATTTTCCGATAAAAAAAACACATCATATAGAGTGATTTTGATTAGCCAACAACAAATTTAACAAGTCTAGCACGGCTGAACACCAGTTCGTGATAATTCAAATGCCGCAGGCCACTACCAAACCAAAATTTGTGAAAATTCGACTAATTATCTGCGAACCTGCGTGTGTCGACAAGCGGATTCCAACAATATCATCATTATATAAACACAGAGTCTCCTCCTTTTAGCAATGATACGGTCCTCCAGTACCTCCAAGAAAATGTTAACAACAATAATCTAGAAACGGACCAGTAATTTACTCAATACAGAACAGCTCCCCTTGCCTACAATAAACCCAGTCAAATGATGAACATAGTTTGTCTATAGTATTGTCAAATTAAGTGTATTTCACGTGCATACTGTTATTATTATTATTATTATTGTTGTTGTTCTACATATCACTATTGTCACTGATTATCTATATATATATAAATCAAAGTTCACGGGGTATCCGGATATGCGCTCCAAAACCACTTATCCGATTACGATGAAACTTTGGTAGGTTGTTATGGCCATCCCAAGGAAGGTTTGTGGATAGGTTACGCATCTCGGAAAAAGAAATTAATTTTGAATTAATTATTAATTTAATTGTAAACAAACTCATTCACATTACATAACAACATAATCCAACTTTTTTTGACAGCATGAAACAACGTTGCCATATTTCATTTATTTAGGCTTGCATTCAACCGACGTAACTTTATTATTTTTTGAATTCAAGAACGGCTGGACCGATCTTGAATTAATACCACGTATCTCTATATAAGGTGAATTCGATTGACCCAGATTAGATCGATTTGGGTTCAATTTAAGTGAACTTCTTCTGATCTAGATAATTTTTTTGTTGATGAGGGTGCACTGATCCAGCTTGAATCGAACACAGTGTGGTTCACTTAAATTGAACCAGATCGATCTAATCCGGTCAATCGAATCGGCTATAGAGGAGAGTGATATAGGTTATTTTTTATCCCGAAAAAAAAGTTCGGTTGCGTAAAACTCTGATACATTGGAATGCCTATAAACAGCCCGGGGCGCTCTACAGCAGCTCTGGAGTGCTTAAAATGCGTCACTGAACTCACTGGCAAGCGACTATGATATCGGATCAAAAAAAAAAAAAAAATTAAATAGAAAATCAACAACAAAATTTGAAAAGAAGTGTATTATTTCAAAATGTATTTACATGCTGGCAACGCAGCGGGTCATTAGCTAGTATATAATAAAACACAGATTAGTATATAAGGAATCCGCTTGTCATTTTTCTTTTGTAACGTTACAACTTCTAATCTCTGCATTTGAAAATTATGAAAGTTCAGCTTATTCTGCTAACAAATTCAACTATAGTGCGTATGCAATAATTTTTCAATAAAACACATTAATAATCTCAAAACTTTATATTTATTTTTAATCAAATCGATTGTCAATAAACCTATTAATCAAATCGAAGGCTGCTTCAGGCTGATCACTCGGAACCATGTGTCCAGCATTCCTAACCATAACCTCTGTCAAATTTCCGGCAATTTTCACATAACCAGCAATTCTGCTTTCACCAACAGTCCATATTTGTCTTTCAGCTAGTTTATATTCAGCTGCAGCGCTGAACTCTAGGTTTTGTAAATAGTTAGCTGTTAGCACGTAACCTACTATAATATCTAGTTGGCCATTGAAAATTAGTACTCGATAATGGTTCAGAAGCTCACTGACCCATGGGGCAACACTCCTACTTATGTCAGCGTAAAGACCATCGTAGACATCGTAATTTTGATCGGAATATTGTGCGCTTCCAACATGCAAGGCTTTTCGTACGCGATCTTGAGTTACGAAAGTCGTCCATTCCGTAGGAGAATCATCAGTATCTTTAATGAAATTGTAAATATCATCCAAAGCAGTGTTTGAAGAAAACCCATTAACTATTTCATTCCAGCCATCTGTAGCGGCGTGAAAGTTTCCTTGTTTAATAAGACTCACAGTATTATTTTGTTTGACATAAAATTCCTTTAAAGTTGGCAAATCAATTAGTCCCAATTGATACAATAAGTCACCATAATCAAACTGATGTAGTGGATCACTTAATCCGTTTCCTATAATAACTCCTTGTAAATTAATTTTCAAGTCCGCACTGGGATTTCTTTGGTGGATAGTGTAGCTGATAGCAGGTACATATTTGCCTCCGTAGGATTCTCCAGAGACGTAAAACGGAAGTTTTTGTAGCTCTGGGAATAGAGTAAAGAATTGTACGAGACCGGTATACAAATGATTGCCTACTTGAGTTTGATTTGTTACGTAATCGCCGTCCGTGAAACTAAACCCAGTACCTACAGGTTGATCGATGTAAAGTACTGAATAATTTTTGTGCCAAGAATATTCACGCAGTGACACTGTATTATTTTCAACAATAAAAGGTCCATGTTCTGCGAAGAGGCCGAATAAACTCGAAGATCCTGGACCTCCTTGCAACCAAAGCAAAACTGGATCTTTACCGTAATCATTTGCGGATGGGAAAAACCAGAAAAACAAATTTCCATTATTCGGTTCGTCTACGGTAAGGTAACCAGCGTAGCTAGTGACATTCTGGAAATCTACCAAGTCTACTTTGGCAGCTTCCTTTGCAGCTTCAATTTGGCCCTGTTTCAAGAGAGGTGTTAGAATTAGGGGATCTTCCAAGTCGTGGACAGGCTTTTGGGTGAAAGCTTTTGTTGTGTAAAACGGGAATTTAGCTGAAACTAGCTGGATAGCTATAGCTACCAAGAAGAGGAGGATTAGTTTCGTCATGATTGGCTAAAAAAAGAATCAAGAATAAAGAAAAAGCTATATTTAGTGATAGAACTTACCTACTTTAAATCAACCAGACAACTAAAAATACTCTTGTTTCATTATCAATTTATATGAATTTAGGATCGATTTTATCTTAGCTTTTCAATAATGTAGATAGTGTGAAAATAATGAAGTGGATGATTCTGCGTTAAACAATAATGTTTTTTAGGTAATGGTCCTTGAATTTTTTTCGTCACTGATTAGTGATTAGTTGAAAGATCAAGAACATTTATGCTCATATTTGGGTACTTCAGACATGTTTTCGAGCTATTTAATTTTCTTATTTCCTGTTTTTCCAGAGCTAAATCCTAATAAACTGAGGGCCGGTATTTCAATGTTACCTTAAAATTAAGACTTACCTAAGGTATCCTTAACGTTAAGGTAAACTTGAAATCAGTTCATTCAATTGGCTTAAAATCCACCTTGAATTAAGGGAACTTTGATATACGGTGAACCTTGTATTGAGGGTGACTTAAAATTGAAAAAGATACTTATATACCTACCTCTAACATTCACACATTGTGAGCAAAAATGCACTTTATACTGTAAATATTTATTTATTTATAAACAAACCCCACTATATAGCCAAAGTCTCTATAGCTACATAGACAGAGCCCACGGGCATAGACCAATAATCAGCAAGGCCGCCGTTATGCTACTTGACATTTTTCAACTCCTTTGAAAAAATTGCTTTTTTGGAAGCCAGCGAAGAGACCCTATAATCTTTTTTCAATTTTTTTTTATTTGAACATAACAGAAATCTTATCTTATATAGGCTTAGTGAAGTTGGAAGGAATTATTACAAGTAGTTCGGATTGCGTTGCGGCTAATGTCTCGGTTGGCTTATCAGTCTCAACTTCCTTAACAGTACTTGTTTTCTGACTTGATGTTGGGCTTGCAGTAGTTGGTGTGGTTTGCGTTGTGACTAATGTCTCGGTTGGCTTATCAGTCTCTTTACCAGTACTTGTTTTCTGACTTGCAGTAGTTGGTGACGTTCGAGTTGTGGCTAATATCTCGGTTGGCTTCTTAGTCTCCTTACCAGTACTTGTTTTCTGACTTGGTGTTGAACTTGCAGTAGTTGGTGTAGTTCGCGTTGCGACTATTATCTCAGTTGGCTTCTTAGTCTCCTTACCAGTACTTGGTGGTGGGCTTGCAGCTGGTGAGGTTCGCGTTGCGGCTAATGTCTCGGTTGGCTTATTAGTCTCAACTTTCTCACCAATACTTTCTTTTTGACTTGGTGGTGGATGAGTTGTTGTAGTTCCTTGGGTAATTACACTCGAATCGTAGTGAATCGGGTTATCTCCTGATAACCAAAAGTACATTTCTATGCTCAAAAGGATGAGGAAAAACGGAATTGACACAATCAAGACGCAGTTCAGAGCGCTGAAAAGTATAAAAAACAAATTTCTTTAAACATGTGCAACCTTCGATTTGCAGAAATTGTAGCCCCAATTTCCATTGTTTATTATTCCATAGTCCAAATAGAAAATCTACTTGGGAGCTAGAAATGTGCCCACAAAAACAAATTAATGTAAGATTGTGGACTCAATCCCTAAATCTTATCGAAGGAAATGAGTGGGTAACTTACTGGGATAAATCTTCGGGACCAGGTTTCTCCCCTTTGAGAAACGGTTTTTTTGTTTTAATTGGTTTATAAATTGAGGGATAAATAACCTTTCCTTTTGCCATTTTAACTCTGGTAATAAATAATTGATAGATGTCAACCATAGACTAATGTCAACATAACATCCAGAGATAAATAACATCGTAGACGCACAGAATGTGTCACCTTAAAACTGGTACTAATTTCAAAATCACTACCTCTGTCCAACGAACTAATCTGTGCAGCGAACCTATTTACGGAGTACATTGAACTAAACAAACACTCTGGAACGGGCGCACTGCTTTATGCCAGTGTGCCGAATTTTGATATATGCAACCCAGCAATACAAAGGAATTGTTGTCTCCCTCGCACTTATTGCGATTAACGTAAAAGAAAGAAGAGCTTCTTCATCTTCCTAACCTCAATGATCCAAACACTTCAAACAGCTGTTCTCAATAGCCGCCATAGTGCAGAGAGATGCAAATCCCACTTGTTTGTTGTCCTTCCTGGCACAAACCCTTGCGTAGGGAACATTATGCAGCCACCGTTCCAGTTGTTTAGTTCATTGACGGAGTATGACAGAGTCAGATTGACGGTCAGGTTTACACTGAACACTGATTTATGCCATATTTTTTTCAAAATCTTACAAAACGTCACTCTACAGAGTACAGCGGGCTGATAAATGACCAATAGCAACGAACCTTTTTGAAGGTTTTGTTGTTTGCCACTCCGTAGGTTGGTTAGACAGAGTATAGCTAACTCTGGAACATACTCCATGGCAATGTCATTGCACGAGCTAGTAGTTGAATGGTGCGGGTATTATAGAACTATTTTGACAGATTACCGAAAATTAACTGGAATTAGAAGAGTTCCAAGGAATTCCAAGAGTTAACTTTTAGTTATTCTGTCAAGATAGTTTCATAATACCCGCCCTTAGTTATTCTGTCAAAAAAGTTTTATAATACCCGCCCTAAACCAGCTTCAATTTGTTAATCAATGGAAAGAAGGGAATAATTCTCGTGCCAAGAGTCACGTTCCTGGAACACAAGATTAGCGAATTCTAATTGTTGACTAATGATAATCCTATTTTTCAACCACCATATCGTAACCTGCACAAAAGAGCCGCTTTCGGGTGCAGAGTGCGAAGCTTCTAGAACACTTCACACCTGTCATACTCCATGCGTTTTGCACTCGAATAGTTGAAACCGAACGGGTCAAACTGTAGCCGGAGTATTTCGGAGTAACTCGGGAGCGCTCAAAAAGTGGCACCCGAAAGTAGCTAAGGATATTTTGAAAAAGTTACTCGATGAACTCCTTGAAGATGGGATAATTGAGGAATGTGCCTACTTTTCCAGTTGTCTTGGTCCCCAAACCTGATGGAAACATGCGCCTGTGTGTTGATTATAGACGATTGAACAGTATTACTGTTCCAATACAATACATATTACCTAGAGTAGATGATTTACTTCATTCGACTGCTAAAGCCTAGTACTCATAACTGCGAAATTCGCATTTTTTTGACATTGCGTTGACAATTTGACGTTTTAAGCTGGAGTTTCATGCATCCGTTTTTCCGACGAAAGATGTCCGAAAAACATTCTATTCTGACATAATCGTATAAAAATATGTCAAAATAGAAGATTTTTCGGACATATTTCGTCGGAAAACGGATGCATGAAACTCCGGCCTTATGCGTGTATCAAACGTCAATTTGTCGAAGCAATGTCAAAAAAATGCGAATTACTAAGCTTAAGGCTGCCTACGTTACAACTCTTGAATTAAAAAGTGGTACCATTAGATACCAGTGAAGAAGGAAGACCGAAATAAGACTTCTTTTATTACTCCTTTTGGTACTTTTCGATACAATGCTATGCCTTTCGGATTGAGAACAGCACCCGCAAACTTTCAAAGCCTCGTTGAAAGATTTCGCTTAGGGTTACCACATATAAGTACCTAAGTTAGCTTATTCAGATGACTTGATGTTTATGTCATCCACCTTTGAAGACCACCTAAAAGACCTGATGAGGTTTTCAAGAGGCTCAAATTATTCAAATTACATGTTAATCGTGGAAAATGTATTTTTTGCACCAATTAGGTAAAATATTTTGGCCATATGATCAGCTAAGACGGATTTACTCCTTGTCCAAGCAAGATAGCTGCAATTGTAAACATGCGTGCTCCTAACAATGTGAAACAAGCTCTGAGTTTCTTACGAAGATTTGTCCGCGTTCTAACTCGAAAACGAAAAACTTGTGAGAAAAACTTCAAATACAAAACTTAAAGATCTCGTTGAGTACTACAAAAAAGCCTATGAGAAGTATCCCTCCATGGGGTACGGTTTTCGAGAAAATTGACCTTGAAAATTTTAACAAAATTAGAAAAAAATTCAAATTTGACGGCTAATATCTCAAAGACAAAAACGGCCTGGCATCTTAATAAAAAAATATTTTGTAGGTAATTTCATCCCCTTTCAAAAGGGCTATAACTCGAAACTATCGGTTGAGAAATAGCGGAGCTATAAGCAAAAAAGTGGCCTCGTGTCGGGTACCCACAATTTTTTTCTAGTCAAAATCGAAATTTCCTTTTTCATTTTTTTCCGGCCTTAAGATGCGCCGTAGCGAGGAAGGTCAAATTAGCTTTTCGACGTATTTTTTGCTCTTCTATCCGATAGAATTTTTTTTTTTTTTTTGAAATTCAAAATTTGAATTTTTTCGACAAAAAAATTCAAAGAGGGTAGCTCCGGTTGTACCAAATAGGAGTTCAGTTGAACTCAACTGGTACTTGATCTTATCCATTTAAAACGCATTGATGTCAGGAATCTGTCAAAGTGTATATTTTTGACAGCAACGCATCAGATGGTTTGATCAAGTACCAGTAGAGTTCAACTGAAGCACTGTTTGGTACAACCAGGCCCTAAACAAACCGTTGGGGCCCATCATTATCTGATGAACACTCCGAAGATTTTAAAAGCCTTGTAAACCACTTTTGTCTCATTCCAAGCGATCTGAAAATAAAGTTCAAAGTATGTACTTCAATTCTTTGACGTCACAAGCATAATATTGCAAAATTCTATCGACACTACTAAATACTTACTAAAAACTTCGAACTTTTTGACAGCTGTTAAATCAGTGGTTCTATTGGCTATTTTGTTTGAATTTGTCAAATGAAAAAAATTTCGCATAAAAATAAAAAATAATTTATTTAACACTTATCCTCTAATTCTAATAAATTATTCAACCAAATCGTACTGATCGTTGGGCACCATACGGCTAGCAGCGTCTCTAACCAAAACTTGAACAACTTTGTCACCAGTACTAGTTCTCTGACTTGATGTTGGAATTGCAGTAGTTGGTTGGGTTTTGCGTTTCCCCACAACTAGTTTCTAGTAGTTCGTGTGATTTGCATTGTACTTGGTTTCCGACTTTGGTCGTGAACTTGCAGTAGTTGGTGGGGTTCCAAATATCTTATCGAAGACATTCCAAAACCACTCGTTTTTAGCAGTTGGTGTGATTCGCGTTGTACT